ATTTGTATATCTCATACTTCATTAGATCACCAAATGATAGCCACTTTAGTTCAATAAATAGGGGCTCTGAATGTGCCCTAAAATCCGCGTTCAATATATATCTGGCGATAGTTTTTTGAATTTTTGCAATGCGATCCAAATGTCGATCATATGTTAGTGACCACACATTGCATCCATAGGTCATGTGCGGCATTACTAGTGAATTGTATACTAGTTTTAGAGCAGATATCGGCAAATGATGTCTAATTCGTGAGATAATTCACTATTAATGAGGTAATTGTACCATACTGTTATAGTGTTTAAAATAACCAAGTTGATAGCAGTCGATTCATTTACATTTTATTGTATTTTACATGAATTATTTTGCTATATATTGCGCACGAGTTAACATGTTTTCCATTGGATTTATTGATTTATAAAATGCTATTTTTGTAAATCAATCAAATATAATAATGTTTAAGTAATTTTGTTTTTAAATTATATTAAATTACATGATAATTGCGTCTATAATTTGATTTATTAATATATTATACTTTTGGTAATCGGATCCCATTTGATATCCACAATACGTAAAGGCAAAGCATTTTCTTATTCAAGCGCTTGATTGTAATGTTTAGATCTGTGTTTTAAACTCATACACCTGTACTGTATATCAATTCCTCTTACGTCAACCTTTTGTAAATTTAGTTTTAAGCATTTATACGATTGATATATAGTTACTTCTAATTGCAATTAATATATGATTGAATAATGGATTTAACAGTTAATGCCTGTCAGCGAACTGCAGGAACTTTGCGCAAAGAATGGCCTCAAGAATCCGATATACCGTTTGGTCCGTACGGAAGGCAACTCTCATTCACCCTTTTTTACAATTGAATGCCTTCTCAACGGTATGTTAATTGTTATCATTATATTTGTTAACAATTGTTTGATATATATTTCGAAACACATATTAGATGTAGTGATTGGCGAGGGGTTCGGCAAAACCAAAAAGGGGGCCAAACATAGCGCCGCCCAAAAGGGCTTGGAATGCATTAAAGAGCAGTCGTTGGTTATGCGAATGGATGCCAAGGATTTGAGCAAAGATTTTATTAAATTACGAGTTAATGATTCGGACAAATGGTGTGAAATAATGTTTATTTACAATTTTTTGGGTAGTATTTCTAATGCAAGTGAAAAATGTGTTTTGTTTATAGCGAATCAAGCGGTGATTCCGGGGTTTCAATACACGACAAAAATGAAGTACAAAAGAGTATCAATAATAACAATACGGATCCGTCGGAAGTGACGCTTAATAAGTCAATGACAGGTCAGGCGAATGGCGTAAGCATTTTGCAAGAGTTTTGCGCCAAAAACGGTTTTCAGCCGCCCGTCTATTCCGAGGCACAGCGTATAGGCGCCTGTCATGAGCCCATCTTTTGCATCTCATGTCAAATAGTATTGGGTTCGGAGCCAATGACGGCCTCCGCTTCGGGCAAAACAAAACAAATTGCCAAACGCTTGGCGGCCGAAGAAGTGCTCAAACTCTTGCAACAACGAGAATATCCGTTATTTCCAGTGAATAATATTCAGAAAAAAGTAATTTATAATTATTTTGTTATTATTTTTTTAAGTTTTAATATTCTGTTTTTTGTTTCCCATTAGAAATCGAGATACAATTCCCAGCAATCGGTTGACTCAAACTACGAACAGCAGAAGGAATACAAAGAATACATCGATTTTGTAGAATCTCTCGAATTTTACGATTTGGACAGTCTTTTGGACGCCACGGACACCGACTTCTGTCTCCGATTCAATATAATCGCCGAAAAGTTAAATTGTTTTGCGAATTACATAACACTTACGGACGACAAATCAAAGTCCAATAACAATAAGTTTAAATGTTTGCTGCAATTGAAGCGCAACACAGCGCTCACCAAACGATTACCAATGTTTGTCTCGTGGGGTAACAGTCCGGTCAGTGCCGAGCAGGCCATGCAAAAGGCCGCACAAAAGGCCATTATTATGGTTAGAGTGCTTAAGATGTAGTTTTCCCGCAGCTATTATTCAAATTCATTATATATATATACATATTTTGACACATATATTAAATTGTTTGTATTTATACTAAAACTTTATCACACATTTCAGTCGATTCATTGTTTCCAAATCTCTATATATTTTGATCTGAATTTTTTGTTTGCTATTTTCATAGAATTTTATCTCTCTTGTAATTTGCATTAAAATTTTCCAATCATTTAATTTTGACAATTATTAGTGAACAGAAAAGGTTTCATTTATTTCAATATAAGTTTTTTGTTTGTGTTTTTCTGTTTATAACCGATATTTAATTGAGATTTTTAAACAATCATTTGACTAAAAAATTAGCTATATTTTTATATGTATTTAAGCGATCATTACTTTGATTAGAATATAATATAACCTACTAGGTAATTTTAATATTATTATAATAGTTTGCCGTATTACGTCACATAAACGCCCATGGGGTATTATGCAAGTTTCTTAGAGAGGGTGGGGGCTTACCTAGGTAATACCCCATGCTATTTTGACTCAAAAAATGAGTCAAATGTGAAAACATTATAGT